TACGCGGTAGAAACTAAACCAGTCGGAAATTACGGACGAAAATCGCGAACAAAACTTAATTCCGGACAGATAATACCGCCAAACTCGACGGTTCTGAAAATTGAGAAAGGCGGAATGTGCCTTACCTTGCGTACAGCAATTTCCTGAACAGTCTCTTCGGACGAAAACAGCTCGGCGTCGCCCGAAAATCCACTTTTCCACTTTTTCCTTCGTTTTTCTCTCTCCTCAGCTTTTTCTCTCTCTTCAAAATATCTCATTTCTATATATATCCAGACTGATCGTCCTGGACGATCGAGATTCGTCCTGGACGATCTCAGCTTTAAATGAACTTCGTCAAGACGAAATTAATTATCGTCTCAGGACGACTTGGGCTCTGGAAAATTTTCGTCCAGACGATCCCACATTTCGTCCCGGACGAACTGCCCAATTTTCACAAATTCTGAACAAACCTGTACCGATCATCCCGGACGATCCAACTTCGTCCCGGACGAACCTGGAGCAGAACTGATATTACAATCTTTTGGAGATTTCTTTAGCTATGAAGGAAATAATTGAATTTGCTAGTTTAGAATCTATCTATAGACATGGAGAGGGGATATTTAGGAATACTTAAATTCAAATGAGGATTATTATGAACGAACGTCGATGATGACAAACATGTCCTTGACAAAATTTATCCAAAATGATGAATGATGAAAGTATTTTGAATGCCTCGTAGGTGAACGCATAGTATAATTACTCGGATGAGTGCACTTAGTGATTTAAAAATTCACAGACCATTTAACTCTTTTTACCACATGTAGTTATTATAAGAGTCATATATGTTACAAATTTTCATAAGAATATAAATTTTCATCAATTTGCAATCATACATACACATTTTTTGTTGTGTGTGCCGAGTTAGCTTTTTCATTGTCAAGCTTTACTATCATCGTGTTTTTCCTCTAGCGGACGCTGCAACTCTCTGATCTAACCCGACGCTTACTTCTTGATATTTTTTTTATTCCTCAAACAATTTTTTAGTTCCTTCTGTCTCTCATCTATCATTCAAAACTATCTCTTATCATTGACACGTAGCACATGCTAATCACTCAAGATTGACATAAATATATATATATTCTGCCATCAGACTTGATGTTCGTAATCACTACAGTTATAGGAGTTGACACCATTTTTATTTTTTACTACAAATTTTGCCCTATAAAGTATTATTATTCTTTCATACACTCACAATGCACTAAGATCAGTTGGCATGTCTAGCATCTGTGGTTAGTGAGCACAAGAATAAAAACTAGGTTGTCTTACATCATGTAGGAATCCACTAGATTTTTTTTTTCTTTGGTGGTTTTCTTAGTCATCCCCTTCCCTTTCAAACCCTATTTCTCAATTAAGAAAAACAACTTTGGCTTTCTTAAAAAAAAAAAAAAAAATCGCCTTTGGAAGGATTAGTTCATCACTAGAAAAGTAATGATCCATATTTAAAGGCGTGATAATGATGATATCTATCGTTACTATTTTTTTTGTCTGGAATTGAAAATATTTTCCTGCCTAATTTAACTAATTGAAGATTGATAAAATTATAATAGTTTCATTAAAAAATAATAAAATCAAGACTTCATTTGAGATAATTTTATCATTGCTTTCTAGAACAACTTTTTAGTACAAAAAATTCTTGTTTAAAAAATTTTTTACTAAAAAATTACTTTTAAAATCAATAAAAATTTGTCCTAAACGAAAATTAAGTTTAGCAAATATGATGTCAAATTTTCTATTATGTTGTTATTGAGGGCATGTCTGAAATAGACCAAATTTTTAGGAGAAAATGAAGAAAAAAAATCACCCTCCCTCAATTCTTCTTGCTCTCTAATTTTCTCTTGCTTGCACTCTCATTCAAAGTGTTTCTCTAAGGGTTGTATATTCATAACTATAATTGTTGTTAACTATATTCAATCAAGCTTATTAATTTTATTTTTATCAATTATCATCAACTAATTTGAATGAATGCTTAAAAAATGGCAATTCTTATTGCTTTGTAAAGCTTCTATAAAACAAATAATTTTATAAAGCTATTGCATAAACCAACTTAAAAGTACATTTTTTTTTAATGAAATCAGTGAAAAAATAATAGCAAACAAAATTTTTGTTTGTGGCCTAAAAAAATAAAGCAATAAGAAAACAGTCTTAAATGATACCATATTCAAATTGAAATATCAAGTAATTAGATATGATTTTAAATTCTATAAATTATCTTTAATCAAGTCACTAATCAAACACAAACATCTTATGCAAAATAAATACAATTAATTTAAATTAATACATAACCTTATTCCATGATTTTATGTGGCACATTTAACTTATGACATTTATAATCAAGTTATAAATTTATAAGAGATTTTCATACATACCACTCTATATTATTCTATTCTATTTGCATATCTAACACCTAAAACTTTAATATTATATACATACCACATATAATTCACGTTCATATCAAATATAAGTTGTAGAATTGAAATATATGGGTGGTAGAAATTAAATATGAGTGACATATTTGATATTAAAATAAATATAATTGTATGTTTGTAATATTAAAATTTTATGTGTTAGATATATTATAATATAAATATGATGATATAAAATAATATGCATGTAAATCCCCTTTCTTAAAATGAGCATACAAATAACATATTAAATGCTTTTCTTCATTAGATGATTGTGAATAACAAAACAAATGATGAATCTAATCACAATAAGCATATAAACATTGGCTTACACTAAGTTGAGAGATATTATGAAGAAAATAAAATTTTTATTTAAAAACTATTATAAATATTTATTAAAAAATAAATTTTCACCAAAAAAATATCTAAAAACAGCATCATCCAAACGAATATTTGACGGCGCTCTAGAACATAGAAAAAAGTGGAGAATAAAGCTTTGAACAGTGACGGAAAAATTGAAACTTTCTAACGGAGACCGACAGATTTCCGTCAACCATACACTTGCGCGGCAAACGGGATTACACTTCCTGGAACCTTTTTCTTCCGCCTGTTTTATTATATACATAAAAAGGAATTCCACATAATTAATTATCTTAATTAAAAACGAGCCACTTAGTACCCCGGTCACGTGACGCTGTCTGTCAACTCACGTGCGCTCCGTCGCTCTCCATCAGGACTCGGTCCTTGCCGTTACACACCCGCTGCGGGCGCGGGCAGTAGACAACCCACGGCCGCCGTTCAGCTTCCGTCTCTGCCTCCTCCGCCGCTGGTAACGAAAGCTGATATGAGTCGGGTTCAAATGGCTCCGACTTGATAACCGGCTCTAATGACGGCGCCGGCAATTCGTCCTCGCAATCCTCGACTTCTCGGCATCGTTTCTCGCCGATCGAAAAGCCAAAGAGCATCGGAGTCGGTTCGAAATACCAGGACGAGGATCCCGCCGCCGACGATGGTGGCGGGGGAGGCGGCGACGACTCAGCCTTGACGCCGAGCTCCTCCGCCTCCTCCGACACCTGCTTCGCTGGCATCAGATCTAGCGCCTCCTGCGCCTGCGGGGCAGAGCCGGCGTACTTGGACATCAAGAGGAAGATGTTGTTACACAGATTCTTCATCTTGGATAGCTCGTTAGCGAGCTTCCGGTTCTCCTTCCTCAGCCTCTCGTTCTCCTCCACCAACTCCGTCGTACTCCCGGGAGGAGGCGGCGACGAGTTCGATGAAAGCACCTGCTCCCCTTGCTCCTCCAGCGAGTTCGTCGGTGATCCCGCTCGGTTCACCGGCATCGCTGGGGCCGACGTCGAACCCACCACCGCCAACGCCACAGGTGAGCTAATCTTTCTCCTTTGAATATCGCAGAGCATCCGCTTCTCTCCCCTCCTGAAACAATCGTTCGCAAACTCCCATCGATCCGGCACAATCTTCCTAAATCCCTATAAATTTCACCCAAACCTAATTCCATCATTCCCACTCCAATCAACAAAATCGAAGAATCAATCAAATCTCAAATCAAAAGGGACGAAACTCACATATGTATTGAGCTGTCGCACGAAGCTGGAGAAATTATTGTGTTTGAAGTATTTGGGTAGAAGATCGCGAGCGAATTCGGCGGGTCTCCACACGACGAAGGTGGATCCTTCCTCGTTCCAAGAGATAACGTCGTCCACTATCGGATCGTCGACCATCTGATACGTCTTGGTGAGGAACGGCGTCGGTAGGGCTCGCTGCTGCTCCGGCGGCGGAGATTCGTCGGGTTGGTCGGCCGGTGCCGGAGTTGGGCCCATCTGGATCGCCGGCAACCGTGAGATTTTGCGGTTTCTAGAAGTTTCGAGGTGAGAGGAAATCTGGAAATTTATGACAGAGCGGAGTTGGTTGGAGGAGAAGAAGTTATCCGAATAGAAGGAAAGGGGTAGGAGAGCCCCAGAAGCTACTAATAGACCTGGTCTAGAAGCTTCCCTGGTTTATATTTTCTCAATTGTTTTAATTTAATAAAAAAAAAGAAAATTTTTAATAACTTAATAATTATTTTTTATATTTAATTTTTCATGTCAATTTAATAGTAGACATGCCCTAATTTAGTAGGACATTTATAAAATAAATTTTGTATATTTAAAATTGAATTATATATATATATATATTTCGGAACAAGTATTTTCGGACTCCTTGAGCTTCGACGTCCGAAAATAGGGGGGCAACTGATACGGCATCACAAAATTAGCTTGATCGGGCACGAATCTCGAGGCGAAAGCTAGTTGGAAACTTCAAAAATTAATTCCGAGAGCACCCCAACTCCGATTTCAGCAAGCTTATAGTCGAACTGAGCGTCTCGGAAATACGAACTCAACGACACCAAGATCGACTCAATCCGAGCCCAAATGAGTCCAAATCAAGAGCTCAAAGCGCTGTTGGAAGGTTCAAACCGCAATTTGAGTTACCAAACAGTCTCCGATTTT